TTTTTAAAAAATATTTTATATTAACTAATAATTGGAATGTTGGAAAAGTTTATATTTTATTAAAAATATATTTCTTAAATAAAATAAGTTACACATTTTAAATATATTGAAATGGTTTAATTACTAAAAGATTTTTATTTTTATATTATGTAATTCAACTCAAATTTTAATAATCGTATTCAAATAGCACTTTAAAAATAGTTTCCATTTTGTATACCATAATAGTCTTCATTAAGTGTGCGATTAATATATCGTTTGTCTTTTCACTCACATCCCTTTCCCTAATCGGTGTCTCAATTGTGTCAATACTATTAACTTTATCATCAAATTGTGAATCCTTTGAAACAATATGGATAACTCGTTATATTTAGCCCACAGTTCACTACATTCCTATCGTTTAGTCGGCCTGGATCAAATAAATAGTTTAATATCAGTTTATGAAAAAATAATATTTTATTTATGGATAACACGCAACAAGTTAATTTGTTAAAAATATTTTTAGATTACTAAATTATTTATTGAATAATTAAACATGCTACAATAAATAATTAAACAATATCTAACCACAAAATACATTTCTCGATTAAATTAGTTATTCATAAACTGTACATTAAAACAAAAACTTTTAATATAATTAAACTTACATCTTAAATGTTACTTATGGTTACACAGGCAAACAACTAATTATTTTATTAATTTTAACTATGATTTTATTTTTATAAAAACGACAGAGTACAGTTTATGAATCAACACTGACCTGGATGACTCGTCAACCCTGATGGGTGACCCCGTCTCGCACTGTATATCCCCACCCCCTGGCTATGCGGACAAAACCAACGAACATCTGCAACATTTCCATTACAACGACAACACCCTCACCGACCGTCACCTCCACCTCTGATTTCGGTTACTACGAGTCCTAACCCTCGCCTGAACCCAGACATTGAGTGCATAGTGTCAGGTCGAGCACCGGTAGCGACGATTACAAATATATTGTGTTGGATTCTGTACAGAATATTCTGGTGTATTAATATTATGTTTGTATGTGATCTAGGTCACTTAAACCGAGACAGTTCAGGTCAATAGACTCGATTCTGGGCGAGTATTTCACGTCGTATTTAGACAACGAGACGCCCCCATAGGACTGCCAAACGTCCTCCAATTGGAGGATTGTCCTCAAATCGGTCTCTCAAAAACAGTACTCCTGAGACCCTCAGGAGGACAATGTAATGTCGTCTCAGAAGTAATTATCAAAATAATACAAATATGCTTTTAATTTTCAATTATTTTCCGAAATTCATGAAAATAACTTCCGAGTTTGTAGTAATTGTTTAAACAATTTATGAACAATAAGTAGGATTACAATAAGTAGTGCATTCAATTAGAGTTGTATAATTAGAATTAAATTATTGTGTGCCCAGTGGAGTAAAAATATCTAGTAATATTAGTAAATAAAAATTTTTATAATTTTTTGCCCTCCCAATGACCTCCTGGCCAGGCTCAATTTGGACTATTTATCCTCCCGGCCCGTGAAAATAGTTGACAACCCTATGCCTTATCCTTCGGAAGGGAAACAAAATAAATATGAAAAATCATTAAATTCTTTGCAAATTGACAATGGTGCCTTTCCCAAGTATCAATATGTAATTTTTATAACATAAATATTTCATTATTGGTACAAGTTTATATGATTGATAGTAGAGTAAATTGCAAAATTAAGACTCCTATGGGACGCCAATTGTTAATTTATATTATTATTGAATAATATACAAACAATTTTTAAGAAATTTATTACAGTCTTACCAAATTGCCTATCATTTAAGATGCATAAAAACCTTTTTGAAATTTATTTTTATACTTTCTAACACAATAATAAATACACATAAATTGTTAGATTTAATATTTATCTATGACCATGGTTAATTATTGTAATATTGCTGTGTGTGTGTTGCAGACTGAGACTGGTAGTGCCCTCCACGAGGCGGCCCTATTCGGTAAGATAGAAGTGGTTCGCGTACTACTGAAGAGTGGCATTAATGTGGATCTGGAGGACAGCCATAAGCGCACTGTCCATGACTTCCTCGACGACCTCAACACGTCGATCGCCAAACAGACCAACAAATTGATCCGAGGTTTGCGACCATTTTTATTTTATGACTTGATTTACTTAATTTAAATATTAGTTAATATTTTATTTGATAAAATATACGTATTTTAAAATTTATTGGAACTTAAATAATAATTAACTAAATTATCATAGAAACTTTTGTTTAATATTCATTTATTAGAAATATATTATCCTATTAAAAAATAATTAGTTTTTGGATTAATAACAATAAATGTTTTAAAAATAAATTTAAACAATAAATTACTATATTATTAAATAAATAATTTACCACTCTAGAATTTATAATTAATTATATAATATTTAAACAATAAATATATTAATTAATATCATTATTAATAAACTGTACATTTTTTGTATTAATATCATACACAAAAAGTTAATTCAAAACTTGTTTATATTGGTTGGTGCATAAGTGACGTAATTTTTTTATTTATCTTTATTTAATTTTTATATAAATGACAAAGCACAATTTACTTATCAACACAGACCTGGATGACTTGTAAACACTGATAAATGACGTGGCTTTGCACTGTATATCACCTCTCCACTGTGTATATACCGCATATTCGGGTTTATTAATTTTTTAAATGTGATCTAGGTCACTTAAGCCAAAACAGTCCAGGCCTATTGACTCAATTCCGGATGACTCAGATATTTCGAATAAGATATGCCCCCACCCCTACCGGCCCGGCATTTCACTAACAATGTCATCCCTAACGGCAATCATACTGTACTAATATTAAGTCATGTAATTTATATTTGTAAAATAACACTGGTCTGTACTCGCCAATTTAATAAAAATGAAAATTTGTATATTAAATTACAATGATCGGATTCCTAATAACAGTTTTAATACTACGAAATACGATAAATACTAAAATTATTTATAAGTTAAATTAATTTAAAAACTTTTAAAAATGTTTATCATGACTAAAAAGTCTTTACTTGTTACCAAGATAAATGGACTCTTGATTTTTAAAATCACAAACCTGTTTAAATAATTTAAACTTTAATTAAATCAATTTTATGATTTTAGATATACCCAGAAACATATAATTTGAATTTAAACTAACTTTAAATTAAACTAAATTAGTAAACGACAAAATAACTTAATAATTAATTATTAGATAATTATTAGATAATTATAAGTAATGATTTTATATATTTCAAATTAACTACATTTAATTAATATTTAATAAAGTTCAGATGTGTGGTTCTTGTACAAATATCTGTCAAAATAAAAGATTATTTTCTAAACAATACTTAAGGTTCAAAATAAACTGTCAAATTTATTTAAATACTCTACAACAATACACAAAATATTTTTATTTAATAATAAATGACAACAAAAGGGGTTTGACTTTAAAACCCAGTCTTCGCCCGGTCGCCCGATCAAAGAGAGTGCTAGGTATATAATTATTATTAATATTAAATTATTATAAGTTTTATACAAAAATATTTATGTGTACTATAACTACATTAGTTAATAATTTACTAATTATAACTGTAATCACATATTAATAGCTCTCTCTCCCATTCAGGACCTCAAAATTGGTAGAAATTGGGGGAGAGAGCTATTATTATGAGTTAACAATTATAATTATTAAATTATTAACTCATTTAACTTTAAACTATATAAGATACTTTGTATTAAATTTATAATAATTTAATATTAAATAATAATTAAATATATAACTAGCTCTCTTTGATCGGGCGACCGGGAGAAGGTGCGGTTTTTAAAGTCAATCCCCCCAACAAAAGCTACCAAATTATATTAAATTTTAAAATGTATAGTCTAAAATGTAAAATCATTTTTATTTTTGCGAATTAGTTTCAATCATATTGAATTTATATCAATTAATCCATAATTAAAATTATAGACATATTTTCATTTTGTAAAACACAAATCTCAGTTATATTATATAATTATTTTTTGTTTACGTTAACATTTATTAATATTACAGTATTATCAATTCATTGCTAAAATATTGTTTATATGAAACTAGTTATTTGGTATAAATGTATTTAGTAAATATATTGTTGTTTAATTGATATTATTATAATTTATTATAGTATATTTCAGTTTTGAGTAACAATTTTCTATAGAAAATTTATTTTATTTACGAATAAACAAAATTATTATTAAATTTGAAAATTATTTTATTTATATTCAAATGTGAAAAATTGTACTTTCAAGATTAAATTTAAAGTAAAAGTTTAATATATAACTATCTAGATATGTTTAGACATTACTTTAAATATTGACAACATTTTGTAAAAATTAGTTTAAAAAGATACATAATGTTTTTGTTATATTAACCAAGAATTAACATCCAGTAAACTCTGAAACTGTGATTTAATGTAATTTAGTCTTTTTTGGAATAGAACATTTTGGCTCAGTTTCATGTGAAAAAGATTTCAAAATATTGAAAAATATGATCAATGCATTACTTTTACTATTAATCGGTTGCATTTTAATCTGCTTCTCAATACTATCTAATGTGTCGTCAAATTGCGGATCATTTGATACAATATTCTTATCGATAGACCACTCGTTATATTTAGCCAACACTTCACTACATTCCGGACGGTTACCACTGTTTCGGGCCAACATCTTGTCAAGAATTTGTTTCAAATGACGAACCGGCTTAATTAAATGCACAATCTCTGTAGCATATGCTTGGTCGCTAAATTAAAATGCAAAAATTATTACAATATAATTAAATGTCATTGATAATGTTTACCTACTTGTCTAATTCATTGAGCACGTTTATTCCAAATATCTCGCCGGCAATGAGTGCCACGCTATAAATGTCAGATTTATGATCATATTTTACACCGGCCGCAACTTCAGGTGCTTGATAATGTTTACCTACTTGTCTAATTCATTGAGCACGTTTATTCCAAATATCTCGCCGGCAATGAGTGCCACGCTATAAATGTCAGATTTATGATCATATTTTACACCGGCCGCAACTTCAGGTGCCATATATTTGATAGTACCCCTATCAGTAGTGTGCTTGTACATGGTTATATCATGAATTTTATCGTGTTTGGTAACCAAACCAAAATCGCATAACTTTATGAATCTTCCGTTCAGTATATTGTCGGCGATTAATATATTGTCGGGTTTGAGGTCTCTGTGAATGAATTGTTTTTCATGCAAATACTCCACACATTCGAGAATTTCTTTAAATATTTCACACGAAATGAGGTATTTGTATAAATTCAATGTCTCTTCTGATCGTCGTTTGAATAATTGTGGTTTGATTCCCAGCATATTTGTTAGATTATGTGCACACATCTCGAGTTGAATGTATACGACATCCTTTTCCCTCCACGAATCAAAATATTTAACTACATACATGTAGTCAACTTTCTTAAGGTATTCGACTTCTGAATAGACATCTCGTTTATCTATATCATTTAGTCCTAATTACAATTAACTTATATTATAATATTGCCATAATTTATTTGATAACTTATATTGTCATATTCACCCTTCATGTTAAAATCACACTTTTTAACAGCATAAGCATCATTGGTATTTTTCTCTTTAACATGTAATACGTCACCATAACTTCCAGATCCAATAGTGGATAAAGTTTCAAATTTGTCTTGGAAATAACCTTTTCTCTCAGTAATTATATCATCACCCTGAGCGGGTATTTGTATTTTGGTAGATAGGTATTCATAGAAAAACTGTGGGTCACGTGATTTAAATTTATTTAAAGTTGAAGTTAATTCTTTATCATTTCTAAGAATATTCTTATCAATAGACCACTCGTTATATTTATCAAGAATATCCTTACAGTCCGGCCTTTTATTGCTATTTTTATTTAACATTGAGTCCAATAGTATTTGCAACTGCTGTACCGGTCGATTTAGCTCAGGGTTGCCCACATAATATTGCTGGGTTCTTTAAAATTTAAATAAATATTAATTTAGATTACATTACAGTAACATAAGGATAGATTTAATTTGTAAAAATAATCACGAACTTGTTTTGGTCGAATAGTAGGGTTGCCCACATAATATTGCTGGGTTCTTTAAAATTTAAATAAATATTAATTTAGATTACATTACAGTAACATAAGGATAGATTTAATTTGTAAAAATAATCACGAACTTGTTTTGGTCGAATAGATCCAGGTCAAATATTTCTGTCCCGATAATTGCTAAGCTATAAAGATCTATTTTGTGGTCGTACTTTTGACCCATTGCATTTTCGGGTGCTATATATCTCAAGTCTCCTACATCTGCCGTATGTTTATCTATAGTCTTGTAATGAATGAGTTCATTATGAATAGTAGCCAACATTAAACTAGATAACTTTATAAATCTTCCGTTTATAGGACTCCTAACGATAAGTATATTATCGGGGCTGAGATTTCTATGAATGACCGGTGGATTCAATTCATGCAAATACTGAACGCATTCTAAGATCTCTTTGAATATTTCACACGAAATGAAGTACTCGTATAAATCCATGGGTTCACCAGATTGTCTCTTAAAGTATTGTGGTTTAACATTCAGAATATTCCAAAGACTATCCGCACACAACTCCATTTGTATGTAAAAGATGTTGCCCTCGACCCAACTCTCGTAGTAGTCGACCACGTATGGCGAACGAAGTTTTTGCAAATTTATCGCCTCGCCATTTATCCTTTGTTTTTCTTTATCATTTAAATCTATTCATGATGTTAAAAATATATTTATTTGAAATATTTCAGATTTTATAATTAACCATTTAATTCAAATTGCTTAATCGCGTATAATTTTTGATCAAGTG